CAGAAAAAGGGCTAGGGAGTGGGGAAAAAAAGAAAAACATCGACAGGATTATTGTAAAGGCTTACTGTGAATGGCGAATGCCAATCCTTCTAAGTTTTAAGCGTATTGTAGCGTACTAATGCGTACATCCGGTAGCGGATTGTAGCGTAGCGCCCCGTACTGTATCGTACTTTACCGAGATATAGTACTACTACGTACTGAAACGTACGTGATGATACCATAGCCAGATGGTTACGGTATCGCGCGGTATCGCACTTGCGTAGTGTGTCGTACGTACGTTCAATTCCCATCTTGTACCTTTATCCTACTTAAGCTCAATGTGACCTACTGTAGAGTACTGCGACGTACTGCACCGTATAAGACTTCCTAGAAGGTATATGTTTGTAACGTAACGTAGCGGAGCATCGCGTACACTATGAGTTACAGTGTCACACAGGAACTTACTGTAGCGTAATGTAACGTACCGTCAAGTACAATGCTGTACTGTGACGTACTCTAAGCCTCAAAGAGCAATGAAGCTAAGTTAGCTAAGCTAAGTAAGTAAGACTACGCCTCACTACCACTCCCTTTCCACCCCACCAAAGCACAGTATCCCCCCATGGTTCTCGCGCCACTTGCACTCAATCAGATTAGGGAGAAGCCGTGTGGCTTGATGTGCCATTCTGGGTGGTCTCCCTTCTTCTTCTCCTCTTCTTCTTCTGGAGACCCCCCACCGTGCCACGTCTTCTCCTCCTCCAGAAAAAGAGACCCCCATAAAAACCTCGCGAGGCCGTGCCAGGCTTTTTTGGGGCCCTCGTCTCTCTCTCTCTCTCTCGCTCTCTCTCTCTCTCTCTCTCTCTCTCTCTCTCACCCACTAGCGTTTTTTCTACCGTTTTTTGCGCCCGTGGCCGGTGTCCCCCGGTGGGTCGGCACGGAAAAACGAGCTGAAAAAGCTGCTGCACTAGGGGGGCGGGGCCTGGCTTTTTCAGCTCCTCTTCTTTTTCCCTTCTTGTTCATCTTCTTCTTCTTCTCCCTCGTCGAGCCTTCTATTTGACCTCGGGCCCATCGATCTGTGGCCATGGACGGGATGGCCGTTGAAACCCTATGGATGGAATGAAGGGGACCGGGGGACGTTTGGAAAAACGAGGAATTGTGAACAAGGAACTAGGGGACGTTTGGGTATGGTATCATGGGATATACGCTATGCTACGTAACGCTACGTAACGCTACGTAACGCTATGTAACGATACGCTACGTAACGCTAATCGACGACACGCCACGCGACGTTGCACTTACCTGAAATTGTGCAGCTTTGGCTGTTCTACGCGACCGTACGCGAAGCTACGTTACACTACGGAATAGGTGAAGTCGAACACCTTGACAGCGATAAATAAGGATGAGCACGAAGCATAATTCTTAGGGACGATACGCTACACCACGTTTCATTCCGTGCCGCTACGTGGGTGACGGTTACAAGTAGCGCACGGCGATACTACACCAAATCCAGACGCGTACGCTACGCTACGTTACGCAAAGATGAGGCAAGATCTTCTGGAGGCGCTAAGCTGCAGATTTCACTGGATGAGCACTTCTACGCAAGTTTCCGCGATGTTACGCTGTGTACGAATTACACCTAATGCTGCTGCTAAGAAAAAAGTTAGGAGCTCCAGAACCCGAGGCGCTACGGGACGATACGCGCGATGACGGAAAGGTGGCGTATCGTAGCATTCCTAGAAGGCAGTGCGCTACGTGAAGGTCCTTTTTGACGGTACGCCGCGCTAAGTACGTAAAGATATGTGAGGATTAACTGTAAAGGACCAGGTTTGTTACGTTACGTTCAAGAATTTCAATTAAAGTATATCTTCGAAGAAGAATATGGTAGTTTTCACAGCGTTGTACGCTTAGATACTTTGTGCCTAGCTGTGAACCTTGGTTGAGATAATGAGTCATTCAGAATAGTCACACGGTTATTAATTTTTTTAGACCTCAGAAGGGCCGTAGAACCGATTACGCCATGAAAATAAATCCATCGTAAAAAGGTGTATTCTGTAGCCCTATACTTGCCAGGTGAAAGGGTTTCTGAAAAATATTAAACTTTTTAAGGACGTTTAAATGTGTTTAAGAGACCCGGAAGTACGCAACAATACTCTAGCCGCATCGCTCAAACTCTTGGATTTCCATTCAATTCGAATTCCATAAAATTTAAATAAATTACGACACCTAAACCGACTCAGAAAAACCGGCGGAAAAACCTGAAGCGCAAATACCCCCAAAAAACGAGTGCAAATTTGCTGGCGGCGGTCTCGCAGCGACGGGAACGGGGGCAAAAACTAGACGCGGGCCCCCCAGACGGCCCCGGATTGGGACTTTTTGCAACTCGTGGTTTTCATGGTGTTTTACCGCCCCGACATGTGCGGGTTCATTCGACGCGGAATTTTGCGCTGAATCCGGCTATCAACTTGATTTTTTACCAATCGGCTTCTACGGCCGGGGATTTCCGGTTGAAGCGCGCGGGTTTGGGGGTGGGGGATCGATAGTGGGGCGAGGGGGGAGAGGGCGCGGGGATTGGCCACAGGGACAGGCCACGCCCCCTTGTGAAATTGGCTCGCCCGGGGCGAGAGAGCCCTGAAAAAGCGAGATACAGAGAAAAAGAGCGCAAAAGAACACCCCCAAAAATTAGATAAAAATGGGGAAAGGGCCCGGGTCAGGTCAGGGGAATTTGGGCGGCTTATCAAAATCACGGAAAGTAGTTGAGAGTGGAATTTTGGAGTTTTTTGGGGGAAAGTTCTGGATCTTTTTAGATCATAATTTTTGAGACGCCTAAAAGGCATAAATAGTTTTGCAAACGCGGTGGTATGAGAAATGTAAATGGTTACGCCTCGGAATAGCACGAAAAATAGCTAGAAAAATTTCAAAGATTGCAAAAAATCGATAAAGCGGAAACTGGGTCCTGAATCGATTACGACATCTAATTCTATAAAAAGCCGGACATAATACAATTAATACAGCCATAGTCGTGAATAGTAGTCTCACGGAAAGTAAAAAAATTGCTAAAAATCATATAAATTCCATCTATAAAATTGCCCGGCCACTTTCCAATCGATTACGACATGATATTCGCAAAGGTTAGGCTTATTTCAGGTGTTTTTAGAGGAACGTAACGTAGTCGACGAGAGAAAGCGAGGGATAGAGAGTGAGAGAGAGCGAGAGATAGAGAGTGAATCGCAGGGTTTTTATAGATTTTTTTTGACCCGTCTGCACCTATTTTTTCACATTTTAGTGCTTTCACCCCTAAAAATTCCATACTTTACTCGTGGACCTCACTACCGTACCCTTCCATCCTTGATCCTCGGGGGACCTCCCCTGGAAAGACATCAAAGCGGTGATAAAGCACCCCCCCCCCAGGCACGAGCCCCATTTTTTCCAGCGTTTTTCGGCTCTCCGGACTAGAAGAGGCTCGTTTTTTGCGTTTTTTTGCGGGCTGGCCAGCCAAAGATAGTTCTCGTGCTGGGTGGTACTTGGGGGGTGGTGGTGTGCAGAGGGTTGCATCGTAGCCCCAGCTAGCCACAGCCACACAGCAGTAAAGTCTCTACACGACCGGGGGTCGATCGAAAATTGCAGGGGAACGCCCGCTCCGTGAAAAAACGCTCTCGACGTCCGGCGAGAATTGGCAAAAACTCGGGCGGGGGTCGGCGGGAATGGTAGAAAAAGTTGAGAAAAAGTTAGAACGTTCTGGGGGTCGAAAAATAGGTTAAAATACGTCTAAATTCGTTTAAAGGGACCGGAAAGTCCGGAAAAACTCGAAAATCTATACGTTTATTGCCTTATTCCGGTTGTATATAGCTTTTTCAGCCTTCAGAATTCCTTTAACAGAGTTTCAGAAAGGTTTAAGGGTACCGAAAAGTCTGGAAAAATCCGAAAATCCGAATTCTTAGGTGCGAATTAAGCTATTAAGAAAATCTACAGCTTTACTGCATACTTCCTTTAAAAACGGATAAACATTTTTTAAAGCGTTTTTTCGCTTTTTAGGTGTACAGGCAATTTATTAAAGGACTATAGAACCAAGATAACATGTCGTAATTAATTGAAATCCAGGGTTTCTAGCCTTGGCGGTCCCTTTAAATCGATATCACACGGTGATATTGATTTTTTTACTTAAAAACTCGTGCTCCGCCTCCTTAAGGATCTCTGCTAGCTGGCCTAATCAAATCACCAAAAAACTCGTCGATTTGGACTGGAAAAAGCATCCCGAGAATCAGGACAAACCAAAAAAAAAGCACTCGGGATCCGGTCAACCCGATACGGTATCCTGAGCTCCAGCTCCTGAGGGCCGGAGCAGAAGACATGCAAAAAACTGGACCTCGTAGATTCGGCGGAGGAGGTTGAGGGAGGGTACGTTTCGGAAGGAAGAAGCGGAAAGAGGAGGAGGAGGAGGAAGAGGAGCACGAGGAGGAAAAGGAGGATCGGGTGAGGAGAACGAGTTCTGTAGCCGGAGGGCACTTTCCTCACCTCCACACAACCACCACCCATCAATCCATTGCCTTTTGAAAATCCGGCCGGGGATACGGTATCGGGTGGCAGAGGCAGCCGGAGTGTTGCGGAATTTAGAGGATTGGCTTGGCTGGGCTGGCTTAGACTTAGGTTTAGCTTGGCTTAGCTTAGGTTTAGCTTACGCTACTTAAGTCGCTGCAGGACCCAAAAAGCTCACTGTTTTTCTACAGTAATCACCTCAAAAATTACAAATTTAAACCAAAAAATCCGAAAAAAGCTTGTTTTGCTCGTCTACCATCCCCCGCGGGACCCTCCTACCCGATTTTATGGTAATTTTTTGGCCTGGTCATCGAATTACGGTAGTCAGAGGTCCCGCCCCGGCCCTACAAATTTTTCTGTTTTTCTCATTCCCAGGGTCCCAGGGGGAAGCGTACGGTAGCTGGGAAAAAGCTGGTGGGACCCAGCCCCCAAAAAAATCCGTAAAATTCATGGAATATAGCAGGATACGGTAGAATAGCGTGAATTCCTACCGTAGCCATCCGTCGTCACGCCGCGCATTCTTGGCGGTGTGGTGCGGCCAGCTTTAGCGGAGTGTAGCGGAATTCAGGCGGAATGTGGCGGAGTGTAGCGGAATTTAGGGAAAATTTGCCGAGTATCGATTCTTGGGATCGTTCTCGTAAGCGTAATTTAGCGTAATTTTCCGGAAATTCGGCAATGTGCCAAATATCGATTTTTCGGCTTTTTCAGAATTTTTCGATTTTTTCCAATATCGATCGACTTTTTCGGAAATTCCCCAAAACGATAGCGGGTGAATAATCCGATTTTTTCAAGAGGCTAACGGCTTCGTTTAGAGGAGCGTAACGTAGTCGGTGGCCTTTTTTCAGACCGCGCACTAATAGACGATTTTCGAATAAATTACTTTTTCATCAGAATACGTGAAAAACCGCCTTAGTACGGCCTGAATTAGCGGCGTTCAGAGGAGCGTATCGTAGTCGCAGTTGCCGAAAAGGTTAGATCTCTGCTTCAGAACAGAGGAGCGTAGCGTAGGCGCTGTAAAAGCGCCGAATCACAACGCGAAAAATAGATGACGTCGTATTATAGCCTCAGAATAGCTAAAAAATAGCGTCGTTTAGAGGAGCGTAGCGTAGTGGCCGTAATAGAGAACGTTCAGAGGTGTAAATCGGAACTTCCGGATTCAACGAATTAGAATGGCTTAGAATAGCCTCGTTTATAGGAGCGTAACGTAGTCGTAATAGAGAACGTTCAGAGGAGTAGCGCGGAACTTCCGGAATCAACAAATTCCGATGAAAATTCCGGATCAATCCAGAAGACGGGAGGGCTTCTGCAGAATTTTGTTGGGACCGAGCGAGAATGAGGCGAGGCGCTGTGTGTGTCCGTGTGCCAGCGCACTTTTTTCTGGGTTGCACTTTTAGGCTGAGGCCGAACGGGAGGGGCTGGGGGTGGGCGCTTTTTCTGGCCTTGGCCCGGGTCGGATCTCTCTCTCTCGATTTGCCCCGTTCCCTCGGCCTCCGAGGGCCGAGAACGGGAAATAGGACGCATGCACTTTTCAGAGGGCATTCGGTTTTTCAGGCTTTTTTTAGGGGAAGCGGAATAGTGCTCGGGGTGGACTTGCACTTTTGGGGCCGGCGCCTGGCACTGGGCCGTTCGCGGGGTTGCCCTTTTGGAAGATTGGGATTGCTCTGTATCTCTAGCTGTGTCTCTCTCTAGCTGGCCATCTCTCTCTCTCTCTCTCGCTCTCTCGCCTTGCATTGAAATTGGCCCTCCCTGGCCCTCCTTCCTCCTTTCCTCCCGCTCCCACATCGCCCTCCTCCCGTTCGCATGGAAGTCTTTTTGAGGCTAGAACATTTGAGAGAGAGAGAGAGAGAGCGAGTGAGAGAGAGAACACCCGACCTTGGAAAAGCGAACACCCCGGCTTCCCAACCTGCCTCCAGCAGCAAATTTTCCATGTGAAACAGCGAGGTCAAGTTGTATAAAAAAACTCTAAAAATGGCTAACTATCCTTAAGCCTTAGCCTGAGCCAAGCCTAAGCTTAAGCCTAAGCCTAAGACTAAGCCTAAGCCCAAGCCTAACCTTTCTACAGTGATTAGCTATTTTCTATGCAAATTCACCCACCAGCAGCATCGAGAATAACTTTAGAACGTATTTCCGGGAATTCGGAACCCTAAAAAGTGCCCCGATCCCCCCGGAAACCCCTTGCCATTGGTGTGTGTAATCACGGCTGATGCGTTAGTCAGTCTGGACCCGAAGAGACTACGGTGGGCAGGTGTATTAGGGAATTTTGTCCCTAGAGAAACGCTATTAATAGAGTTTGTAGCCTGAAATGGATAAAAAATTTTCCGAATTTGAAAACTGCTCGAGTCAACTAGACGTGCTTGAAATTTTATCAAATGACTGACCTATTTAAAGCTCAATAAGGTATTAAATAACCTGAAATATACTGAACCCAAAAATATATAGGTTTCCGTGACTTCACAAGACCTTTAAAAAGGAAAAATCGTTTCAAAAAGGCGCACAACGCTCGAAAAATTTGCTTCCGTGGGTCAGAAAAAGGCTGGAGTTTATCTATTAAAAAATTTATACATATTTTTGAGGAGTTCCCGGCCACTTTAAGCCATTAAAATAGCTAAATAAAATATTTAAGTTCTTGAAAAATCAGAAGGGAATTTTTCTAGGACTTCTGCGTCCCTTTAAAAGCTCAAAAACGCGTTAAATCAACGGAATTTGATAGCCATCAAAAATATGGTAATTTCCATGGGTTCCCGGTCTCTTTAAAATGCTAAAACCCCCCAAAAAACGCCGAAATCTGCTCATTGGCCTCCCCTTCCGATCAATTCCTGCACTCCCCTTCCGATTCCCCTTAAAGTGCAAGGAGTTCAGGCCCGGATCAAGCCCTATCTACTTCTCTCTATCTCTAATCTCTCGCTAACCGTTCAAAAGTGCATTTGCCCTTCCGTGCACTTTGTTGCACTATTCCTAATAGTGCACCGGTCCTCTCGAAGAGTTCAGCTTTTTTTTGCGATCTCCCCGCACTCTCGAGGTTTTTTTTGCCCGGGTTTGCCACGTTTTTGCCGCTTTTTCTGGGGGTCGAGATCCGCCGGGGGTTGCACTTTTAGCGAGCAGGCCTAGCAGGGCAAGATTCGGGAACGCCCACTAGTTTTTAGGAGCGTTTTTTTTGGTGTGGAGCGGAACGGGAGTGGTGAAAAAGGGGAAGTCAATTGGTGGGGGCAGCGCTTCTTGGCAATTTTCGTCCAGTTTTGGTCATGCTTAGCCTCTGTAATAACTAGGCGCTTTTTTATACCGTAATCGGTGCTCAATTAGACTGGCAGAATTAGATAGCGTAATCGATTCAAGGAAATGATCTCAAGAGGTTGCATATCTCTCTCTCTCTCTCTCTCTCTCTCTCTCTCTCTCTCTCTCTCCCCCTCTCTCTCTAGCTTTCCATCTCGCAGTATTACATGACGTAATCGGTTCAAACATACAAAAAATATCGTAGCGGAACCTGAAAAGCATGCGTTTCCGCTCTCTCTCCCCTCTCTCTCCATCTCTCTCTCGCTTTCGTGTTCTCTCGCTTTCTCACCGTCTCCCTCCCTCGCTCTTTATCTCTCTCCCTCTCTCTCCCTCTCCCTCTCTCTCTCTCTCTCTCTCTCTCTCTCTCTCTCTCTTTCTCTCTGTCCCTACCGATCGATTATGCAAGTTCTCACATTTTCCGATATTCGTTAAAAGTTAAATAGTTTTAAATTTACATCCCTTTTCCTTTTATCAATCAAAACTACTTCCATTTTCCTGCCCTAGTTGCCGTATTCCGCATTGTTACCATTACCGTAATCGCCCCCAAATATTCCCCCCGGCTACAAAAATTCACCGCTCGGTGGCATAGCAACCATCACAGCCTGGAGGAAGACAAGGAGCCAATAGCCGGCCAGGCTAATCGTTCCCGCATCTCCCCCATTCCCGCTATACCGTATTCCTAGTTTGGCCTATTTCTTGGGGAGAGGGGGGCCTATAGCTATCGGGGAGACGGTTTGACCTTCGGCTGGTCAGAGGGGAGCCGCTGACCCCACCCTTTACCGTATGCGCATGCCATTTACGAGGGGTTACCGGGAGACGGGTAGGTCGGGAGGGGGCTTGGCTTCATTTTTGAGCTTGGCTTTTAGGCTTGGATTGGGCTTAGGTTTAGGCTTAGCTTCGGCTTGGGCTTAGGTTTAGGCTTAGCTTAGTCTACTCTTGGGCATAGGTTGAGCTTACTAGGGAATGGTCTCCGCTCGGTCCGCTCGGTCCGCTCAACTACTAACTTTCAACCCGAAATTCGAGGCCGAGCGGAGACCATTCCCTAGTTAGGATTAGGCTTGAACTTAGGCTTGGGCTTTGCTTTGTGTACTCAGGCTTAGGCTTAGCTTCAGGCTTAGGCTTATTTTAGGCTTGGCTTTTGGTCTCGGTGGCTTAGGAAGGCTTAGCTTTTTGACTTATAGCTGCAAAATCCCGGTCCCTTTTAGAAAAATGTCATAAAAAAGCAGAATTTCCACATGTGGACAAAATTAACAGCTTTTTTACATCAGATTTCGAAACTTGGACAGCTCTCTCTCTCTCTCTCTCTCTCTCTCTCTCTCCCACTCTGAATCACCCATTGTGCAACGAGAGTAGCTTGTCGAGTCTCGTAGCCAGTGGAGCTGTACTCTCGCCGGCTACCCCGGATCGATCCCCTTTTGGCTTTTTTTCCGGTGTCGTGAAAAAGGGAACGCGGCGGAACTCGCAGAACGCTGGACGGAGTGAACGTTTCTCTGCGGCCTCTCACTTCCCCAATCTCTCACCCCTCTAGAGACCATGGAAACGGAGAGAATTCGCCACAAAGAGGGGGCTGACAGGGGGAAAATGGCCTTCCCTGGGAACGGCGTTCTATTTGCTGCCCTTTTGGCTTCCTTTTTCTGTGGGGTCTCCGGTTTTTGGGTAGTCTCTAGTAGTTGCACTCGACCAGCCCCAGCCAGCTGCCACCCCTCAATGCCGTTCGTCCCTTTTCCCCCTCTCTTATCGCCCAGGCAAAAAAGCCTGCCCGGCGTTTTGGGGAGATTTTTTAGCCGACCGAGGGACGGGGCAACATTACTTTTTGGAAAAAGGGGAACGCCTCGGAGTTGGGGGATTCGAAAAAATGTAAAATTGGAAGTGGGTTGGAATTTAAAGGAAGGATGACATACAGAAGAGGTGGGTGAGAAAGCGAGAGGGAGAGAGAGAGGGGGAGGGGCAGGGAGCGAGAGACAGAAAAGGAGCGAGAGACAGTAAGAGTTAGAGAAACATCATCAAAAAAAAATTCCAACGACCAGCAGGTGTCATGTTGCCTTTAAACCAAAAAAGGTTATGCAAAAGACTGCCAAAACTTAACTGCCAAACAAACAAAACTGCTTGAGCCCCAGCTTGAACTGCTTGAAAACGTCGGAACTCACTGGGAAGGCTCCGGTAAATCGGGGAATCAGCGAATTCGCATCAACTTCCATAAAAATAAAGTGGCATGGGAAAATAAATTCTAAGTTTATCAAGGTCTTACAAAGCTTTATTTCTCTCGTGAACTGCTTGAAAACGTCGGGGGCTGCCGGGAAAGATCCAAAATTTAATGGATTCGAGGAATCCATTAAGATAAGCATCAAAAGAGTGACGGGGAGGACGAAGAAATCTTAGGTTTTTGCAAAGACTTACAAAGCATCATTTCTTGCCTGAACTGCTTGAAAACGTTGGCCCCGCCGAGAAAATCCGGAATTTAGCCGACTTGATAAATCCATTAAAATAGCAATAAAATAGCGTGGCGGATGAATTTTGAGTCGTTGGTGGGGGAGAAGATGAAGAATGTTCTCGGGGGGCAGTCGACTCTTCTCCCCCCACACCACTTTTTGCCGGTGCATTTTGCCCCCCATGCCGGGCGTTTTTTGTGCGGATGGCAAAAAGCGGAGCGGAGCGGACGGCGCGGCGTCGACGCCAGCGACCAGTCCTGCCTCGAGTCGTTGAAAAACGTCGAAAAAACCATGAACGGATGGGTATCGATTGGCGTCATTTGGTGTTTGGCGTACTAGAGGATTTCGCGGATTAAAGGGAGCGTGACAGAACGTGAAAGCCGCTACCGTATTACAAGTTAAGAGCAACAGGCGTCTGACAAATCGCTTTATGCTTGGAAAAATCATGGAAGGTTTAGTGTAATTTGGTGTTTAGCGTACGTTACGGTGTCCAGAGGTTTTTGGATTAAAAGTAGCGTGACAGTACGGAAAATCCTCTATCGTACCTCGAGCCAAGAGGTCAAAAAAAATTTTAAAAATGGCTTGTTCCTTCGAAAAACTATAAAAAGATTGGTGTCATTTGGCGTTTAGCGTACTGTTCGGTCTCCAGAGGTTTTTGGATTCCAAGAATGGAACACCACTCCTGTAGTAAATGTCAAGAGGACCGTTTGTTTTCTGAAAAAAACCATGAAAAGTTGGTGTCATTTGGCGTTTACGTACTTTTTTTGTATCTAGGGGATTAAGGGGACCGTGACAGGAAGCGAAATCCGCTATCCTACCTTGTACGAGGGGGAATTAAACAGTATAAAGTTATAGTTCGAGTTCCAAAATTGCTTCAAGGAGTCAGTGAGAGGAAGGTCCCATTACCGTATCCTACGTCGAGCGGAAATTATCGGAAACTGCCGCGAAAACTACGAAATTTTGTTAAAGGGAGTGGAACAAGTAGAAAATTTCGTGAGGGACACGATCGTGGCCTCGGAAAAGCGGAGTTTCTCGGAAAATGAAAAAAAAATGCCGGACCAAAGCCAAAAGGCCTAAGCCTAAGCCAAGCTAAGCCAAGCTTAAGCCTAAGCCAAGTCAGCTCAAGCTCAAGCTTAAACCAAGCTAAGACTTAACCTAGGCCTAAACCTGAGCCTAAGCCTAATTGTCAGTAGTAAGGCTGTGGCCAAAATTAACAAAAGCTTTCCAGATTTGACTTCAAGAGGTCACCAAATGGAAAAAGTGGGTCGTGGCCCCCGGATGCAAAGCACAACCTGTGGATATCCGAACGGACAAAGAAACACGACGACCCACAAGAGCGCATGAAAAAAAGAGGAAGGATGGAAAGCGAATGGCCAAAAGGGCAATCACAGAACCTCTGGATTGGAAGAGGAAGGGATTGCACTTTGGCATCCACAGACATCCACAGGGTGACACACTATCCCGCATTCAACACTACCTAAAGGGAGAGAGAGCGACCCGCGCGCACAATGCACTCGCATGCAAATGAGGGGAATACGGTAGGGTACGGCTTGGCTTCGGCCTAGCTTAGATTGCTTAGGCGTCGGTCTCGGCTTAGCTTGAGATTTACCTAGGCGTTGGCTTAGGCTTAGCTTAAGTTTTACTTAAGCTTGGCTTAGGTGTGCTTTTTAGCTTAAGCGTGGCTTGAGCTTAGCTTGGAGTGCCTAAGTCTCGGCCTAGGCTTTACTCGGGTTAACTGACGCATATCTTAGGCTTGGCTTGGGCTTGGCGTTGACTACCTTGAGTCTGGCTTAGGCCTGCCTTTAGCTTTTGTTAGTTTTCCAAAGGTTAAACTTGGGCCTAGAAGTGGGCTTGACTTAAGGCTTGGTAAGTGTTGAAAACTTGAGCTTAAAGTAGGCTCGACGAACCCGTTAGGCCTAGCTTACAAGGGAACCACAAGTTGGCACGGTGGAATAGCTAATTCTGACAAGCTCGTTGGAATCGCCTTCGTCGAAAACCTAGGGGTAGCCGCGAGCGTTTTCGAAATTCCACCGTGCCAACTTGTGGTTCCCTTGTTAGCTTAGAAAACGGGCTTTGGCTGCACGGTGATTTTAAACTAACAACATTCAAAAACAGCGAGGCTACCGTACCCAAAAAGTCCGGAAATGCTGTTAAAATTGGAAGCAGTTTCCAGCAAAAATGCTTCAAAAATCAGCTGGCCATAGGTGTCGCGCGGAAAGCCGCAATGTTGCCCTATTGGCTTTTTTGGGAGCCTTTTTTGGGGCTGGTGAAGTTTTTTGCACCCTCTCTCTCTCGCTCTCTCGCTCTCTCTTTCGCTCTCTCTCTCTCTCAGCTGAAAAGTGGACGAACGGTGAAAGGGCCCAGAAAGAGAATAGCCCCCCCCCCGGTCCCGAACGGAAAACCGGAACGTGACCCGACTTCTGCTGGATGGAATAGGACGAACGGCCGTTCGGTTTGTCTGTCTGTCTGTCTATCTCTCTCTCGCCCTATACAAACATTTCGGGGGTCCACACACTCTTTTTTTCGTGGGGGGCTAACATCGTCTGCTGGGAACGGATCGGGGCCCACGGAAAGGGAATCGACGGACAGCGATTGCAACAATGGGGGATGTTTCGGGTGAAGCTGGACTTGAGCTTGAGCCTAAGCTTGAGCTGGAGCTTTGAAGCTAATGGATAAGCTTGTAGCTTGTAGGTTAATTTCGGTGCTAGTGGCTTAAGTTCGAAATTTGTGGCTTGAGTTTGAAGCATACGACTTAGTTGAAAGTTGCTACCCTGTGTTTGAAGCTAGTGACTTAAGTTCGAAGCTGGTGGCTTAATTTTTGAAGCTCATGCTTAAGCTTGGCCTATTCCTAGGTTTCATAAGTCCAATTATCTTTTATTTATAATTTTTGAAGCTTAAATGAATGGCAAAATTCCCCAAAAAACCGACCGGCATCCGGTTGCCGATTCCGGAGAACATCGACGGGTACTGGAGGATGGAGGGATTTTGGAAGTTGAAGAGATCTGGAATCGGCGGATAGTTTCTACTGTCACTACCCCTTTAAAACGTTCTAAAGGTACCCGGAAGCCAAATTTTCGATTTCGATTCGATTATGACGTTGAGTACGGAGTACGGGTTTTACTGCTTACGCCTCCTTGAAAATACATCCAAACTACCGTACCCGGGTTGTTGAAGCCGGGGAAGTTGGAGACGGGCGCCTCGAGACCGGTGGCATGCTGGAGGGCCATCCCCAATGGGGCGATCGGAGCCTGGAAGGTTGATGAACTTCTAGGAGATCTTCAATACCTGTTGCTGAGGCGGCTGTGGCTGATTTGCATTGCCGTTCGGATGGGCTGCCGGGGTCTGGGGGGTAGTTTGAGCTCGATTGCCGTTGATCTAAATTTTCCTGAATCTTAAACGGAGAGAGAGACTGAGAGAGACAGAGAGAGAGAGAGAGCGAGAATGAGAGTGACGGAGAGAGAACCAGAGAGAGAGAGAGAGAGGCAGAGACACAGAAAGTGAGAGAGAGAGAGGAAGAGAGAGAATGAGGGAGAAAGATAGAGAGAGAAACTGAGAGAGGGCGAGACGGAGAGAGACGGAGCGAAAAAGAGAAGGCGAAATTTTTAACCCTAACCGGCTGCTCTTCCGGATTCGGCGTCGACGAGTCGGAGCCGTCCGTCGACCGCGAGTCGGACCGTGCTAAAACGGATTTTAAACGGCCATTATTGAAATTTCAAGCCATTGTTTCCAAGCTACAAACAACAACCCACTACTATGGTTATCCGTATGCAACCCGAGGGCCAACTGCTGGGCGTACTGCCCGGCGACGCCCGTCAACACGTCGCCACCCATCGAGGAGTAGCCGGACGAGTCTGGAAAGTTGGATCTCGATCTCCCGAAAATTTCAGAGCTCATATTTCGTAAATCCTTCAAATTTAATTTCCGCTCTGATACCGTTGGCCAGACCCAGTAAGACAGCGAAGAAAAAGCAGTTTGTATCCACGGCGTTCGCGACTGGCTCAAAAACATGAAACCAAACGGGGATACGGTAGCTGGGGTTGTGTTTTAAGTGGCAATGGGTCAAGATTACCCGAGTTAACGCAGCCTAAAGGGACAGTGACAGTAAGCTAAGCGTCTTTCGGGTAGCTTTTATATGTTTTAAAGCAACAGGGCCGGAAACGACTATTCCTTTCTAGATGCATTTAAGACATTTTAAAGGCGTGGTGACATCGTACAGAATGCGCCATCTGTCCCTTTAAAAGGAACTACGAAAGGTAGACACTAAAATTATTTTATCGAGACCTAGGCGCTATGGATAGAAAAAATGTTGCCTTCCGAGTGCTTTTAAATTGTATTAAAAAGCTCTACGCATTTTTATATGACTTTTATCTGTTTCCATGCATTAATGTTGTATATTTTTGTTTTTCAAGCTTCTTTAGAGCATTCTAAGCCTAGGTCTAAGCCGAAAGCTAAGCCCAAACGTAAGTCGAAGCCTAAGCCTAAGCCTAAACCTAAGCCCAAAGCTAAGCCTCAGACCAAGCCAAGCCTAAGCCTATACACAAGCAATCCCAAGCCTAAGCCTAAACCTAAGTCTAAACCTAGGGCTAAGCCCAAGCCTAGGCGCAAGCCCAAGCTAACAAGGAGTCGTTTTTAGGTGCTTTTGGAGTTTCGGGACGGGACCTAGTTAGTTCGATAGAGAAAAAAATTCTGAGCAACATCCCGTTTTGAAAAAGTGTTTTAGAAAATTTAATTTAATTAAAAATGTTCCCGGTATCCGGACTCTTGTGCTGATTTGAGGTGATTTGCGGCGGTCGAGCGCCCCTGCCCCATGGGGACTTCACTCGTCCCAGCTCCCGTCCGAGGCATGGCCAACTGGCTAGTGCGTTGGCCTACGAAGTTTTTTGACCTTTTGCCACAAGTTCGATTCTTATTTATCGTTAACTCTTTGCTTTTTTGCTAATTAAAATTTTATGCACCGATAACGGGTTCAAGAACCGAAAAGCAAAGGGCTAGCCAGCGCGAAGATTCGAAACCGGGGCAAAAAATGTGAAAAAGTTGGTAGGCAAGCGTGCTACCAATACGCCAATGTAAGCTCTGATGGAGGCATTGGCGGAGGGTTACGAATGGCGCCCTGCCCCGCCCCGAAAACGACTGGAACCGAGGAAATGGACCCGAAAACTCGAAAAAAGCGCGAACTTTAAATTAAATTTTCTAAAATTCCTCTATCGATCAGCACTTTTTGAAAATGGTATAGCGTTCAGAATTTTTTTCTCTCTCGAACCAGCTAGGTCTCTTCCAGAAACTCAAAAAGCACCTAAAAGCGACTCCTTGTAAGCCTAAGCCCAAACATAAGCCTAAGCCTAAGCCTAAGCAAAGCCCAATCACAGTAAATCGTTTTTTTGGAAACTACGCTAATAAAGGCGGAGTAGCCCCTTTAAGCCTCCAAAGTACACGAGTTACCTATAGCCGGTGAGTGCATGGTGTAGTATGGATTATTGTTGATCAACGGTGATTGTCCAGTGGTGGATTGTTGTATTTGTGGTGGACACGGGCTGCCAAGTGGAAAGTTGTTCGTCACCGGCTGCAGCGGGGCCCGCCCGGTCGCATCCAACTGCAAAAATTAAATTAAAACGGGCGTTAAAAGTGTTAAATATAATTTCTTTGCACTACTTGACTCATTAATTTGTGGTTTTATTAATGCTTTGTATCAATTTACAGAAATAGGCTTTATTAAACGCTCTCGCTCTGCGACGCTCCATGACACTACTAATTACACCCCCACATTGACGCGTTCGGTGCTTTTTTGGGGTAAAAATGCCTATTCCGGTCCTCTTGGTCCCTACAAATTTCCCTAAAAAGTGCATATTACGCCGGTTGGGGGGCGAGTGTAATTTTTTGAATTTTGCGCGAGGTTTAGGAGGTGAAAACGTGCTATTTTTGGATTACTGTAATTTCGTACTGGTGCGTAGTGTTGTAAAAAGAACTAAAAAACCTAGAATCGATAAAGATGTTGATTTTTAGAGGCTGTTACTCTTCCTTTAAAAGTGATAATAGCTATAAAAATTTGTGAGTTTCTCTAATGATCTCTGCTGGCTTGCCCAACGGTTTCTTGGAAAAGGGCAATTTTTCGAGGATTTGCATTTTTTAAAACACGAGTTAAATGATCTAAAACAAGTTTAATATGGTAGTAAAAACATAGCTGTCAAAAATTGCAGTCGAAAACAGTAAGCTACAAACTACAGTACCCAAAGTGCAAAAATAAATCGAAAATTTCGATTTTAATTTGTCTTAAAACGAGTAATCGGGCCAATCTAAAGCGAGTGACAATTCTAAATACTAAAAAGTAGACTAGACCACAGTACAAAGTGGTACAAAGTTTACTGAGTGCACTACAAACTACAGCGCCAAACACAAAGTCGAAAGCCGCTTGTCCAGCCCCCTTTAAAACCAGTAATCGGGCAAATTTAAAGCGAGTCGAAATTTAAATGCTAAAAATAAATTAGACTACCGTACACTACAAGCTACATCTCCTAGGCCCGAAAGACTTGAAACACCCTGTTCGAGCCCCTTTAAAACCCCCCGAAATTTCAACCGCAACCCACAGCGATAGCCGGCAGCGGCTGCTGCTCCACGTGATAATGATTAGGGAGCGCCAGGGTGGCGATAGGTACGGTAGAAGAAGGGCAAGATATAGTAATCGAGTTTCTAGCGGCCGTGGATGGGCAGCTGGGCATGAGATGGAGCGAGAGAGTGAGAGAGACAGAGAGCACCCAACACCCCGAGGGGACCATTTTTTGCGCCGCCGGATCGGATACAATTCCACAACCACAGCTGGACAAGGTTTTTCGCGTAGGAGGAGGAGTGCTGGGCCCTTATATGGAACTATATAGCCGATGAAGGGGGGAGGAGGGTTTAAAAGGATGGCGAGAGGTCGATAGAAGAGAGGGAGAGAGAGACGGAGTGAGAAAGACAGAGAGACACAGAGAGAGAGAGAGAGAGAGAGAGAGAGCGAGTAAGAGTGAGAGAGTCGCGTCCAAATACCATAATGCGTAATGGCAAAACGTCCTGATGTCGAAACCTCATAGTGCCAAAATTTCATAATCTCGCGAAGCCATAACGTCAAAACGTCAAAAATGCCGAAATTCCAGAGAGCGAAATTTTCCAATATAGAAATTGAAGATGCCGACATTTAGCATATCTGCATTTTGCAAGTTCGAACTTTCATAATCTCGGATTCCAAAATAGCTAATTAAAAATACTGAAATTTCTTGATATCAAAACTTCACTATGTCGAATTTTTAGAGTATTAATTAGGCTTTGCGGCATAATTTTTTATGGAGAACTTCGACATATCGAATTGTCGGCATTTTTCTAGCAAATTTCGAAATTTAGCGACCTGTCGCGATACCTTTAATATTAATTTTGCGCACTTAATCTAGTAAAAAGTACGGGAATTTTTGCAGCATAGATAAGCTTGCAAAACGCAATTACCAGTTCCTTTAATGGAATCGCTTACGCAATGCAAAACGTTCACTAGAAAAAAATCACCTGTAATATCATAAATAGCTCCATTCGTAGGTTATATAGGGTTTAAAGGGCTCAGAAAATTCGGAAATATGTCCTTTTCGGAAAAGTGGAAGTATCACCCACGAGGCCCAAATACAAAATGCTCCCTGCCTGCCACTGGTCTAATTGGGCCACGGTCCGAGAGCCCTCGTCTGTCTGGGCCCTGCATATAACACTGCTTGATCTCTCTCACTATCGCTCGCCCTCTCTCTCTCCATCTCGCTCTCTCTCTCTCTCTCTCTCTCTCTCTCTCTCTCTCTCTTCTCTCTCTCGCTCTCTCTATCGCCATACAGCTACAAAATGAGCCCTCGCGATCCCCCAAGGGACCTGTAGTTGCACTTTCTATCAGGTATGGCGAGAAAAACACAATTTTTTGGTCTGGTCCAACACGATGGGGGATAATAGTGCACATTTTTGGGGGTAGTGTGTTTTCAAAATGACGATTTTCATTAAGTCAGAGCTTAGGATAAGCTTAAAATGCCGACAGCCAATGCCCGACAGCTTTCATCCAGATCGCCAAAATACCGACAGACAAAACCGTAAAGGCTGGAATACCGACAGGTATATTCACGACAGCTATAAAGCCGAACAAGCCGACTTCCTAGAGACAAAATACCGACAGGCCATAATCCCGACAATCCTTGACCCTGAATGCCACTTCCTTTTAGACAGCCATATTACTTTGTCGGCATTTTGGCTGTCGGGATTTCGGCTTTCGGAATCGTGGCCTGTCGAGATTATGGCTGTCGGCATTTTAGCTTTCGGGATTTTGAGGTTTCGGGGTTTTAGCTGTCCAGATTACGGCTGTCGGGACTTTTTGTTATCGAGATTTTTGGCTTTCGGGATTTTCAGTGTCGGCATTATGGTTTCGGGATTTTGGACTGTCGGGATTATCCGTTTTCCGTTCCCTTAAAAGTGGTAGATTTTCCTTACACTATGCTGCTTTTTAAAGGGACTAGGAAGTAGCCAAAGATGAACCTATAACTTAAATGTTATCTAGCAACGTATAAATAGTATATAGAGTATAGACAGCTCAAAACACTTGTACTTTTACGGAAAAACCGGATCGTAGCGCTTAAAAAAACGGTGACAAAGGGCAAGGAGAGGCTTCTTTTTGAGGGATCGGTGACCGTTCCAAAATTGTATGCCTAACACCGGATTTGCCCGCATAAAGAGGGGTAATCCCCAAAGGGCAAATGGACCGTCTACGGGGGACGAAGCGGAAGTTGCAGAGTTTTTTTTGGTGCATCAGAACGTCCGAAAAGTACCAAAAATCCTCAAGCAAATTGAAAAAAACGTTTCGAAAGGCGTAAAATGAGCATTATTGATTTGAATATGCGTCCCATTCCCTTTCAAAAGGATTATTTTCATTTTGTCGAAAGTTAAAGTGTCGAATTTAATTTTTTCGAAAATGCCGAAACTCAATTTGTCGAAAATCCTTGTCGCAAAATTTCGTTTGTTGAATTTTCGATACTCTAAAACTCGAATTTTTTGTTTGTTTGAGACGAATAAATGCCGACAAAATTAAATTTCGACAAAAGATTGCACAAAATTAATTTTTGAAAAATTAATCATCGACAAAATGAAATTTCTATGCGATATGGATGCCGGCAAAATGGTTTTCGACAAAATAATTATCGACAACATGATTTCCACAAAACGAATTATATATTTAGATAGAAATTATCTAAAATAAGGGTGTCTTAAAATCCTTTGAAAGGCATGCCAAAGTAAAAACCCATATTTTTAATGTTTGAATCTTAAAAGATTATGATATAAAAAATATGACTATTTTTGGATCCTTTAGCCCCACAGTGGCGCCTTTATGAACTGAAGAAAAATCCGGATAAAAGAAGCGCCTCCCCATTGGGGTGGTGTCAATGGTTCAACTACGGAGAGCAGATTGCGCTCATTGCCCTGCCCTCCTGCCCCCGAAATGCCGGATTAACCAATTGTGGTCGGCGTGTTCCGAAGGTATGCCTCACTCGACTGTCTGCTCATTTGGCTTCCGAGTTAGTTCCGCTTTATTTTTCGGATTTTTCAAATTTCGAGGAGAGCGAGCGAGAGAGTGAGAGAAAGCAAGAGAGTGGAAGAGAGAACGACTTACAAGGGAAGGTCGTTTGGGTCAGGTGTCAAATCATTCTGAAAATTTGCCAGTTGATAGAGAATTGAAAACGGAACAAGGCGCGCTAAGTCGTTTTCTGCACAATACCCCTAATTAAAAAGTTATAAGCATTTTAAGTTGGTGGTCCCAAAAATGGGTTCTGCGCTGGTTTTGCACCAATCCCACCGTTTCCACAATTTCTGCCCGGATGGTTTCTTGGCCCTCTCTCGTCTCCACTCCCCACGTCTCTTGTAGCGCAGTCGGTAGTGCGCTTGACTCAGAATCTTTTTAAAAATTTTTGGCAAAAGTTCGAGACTAAAACTTTTGCATCTTTTTGCTTTTTGCTTTTTGCTCCTGCAAATTAGGGTTATCTGGCGTCAAATCCAAAAAGCAAAAAGTTGGACGCATCAAAAACTTGAACTCGATAACAAAAATTTAAAAAGTTTCGCACTCCACGGCACTACCTACTGCGTCGAACAGCTTGCCAGTCCGGGCGACGCAAGAGCTTGAAAAGGGGGGAGACCACAATGAGGACCAGGTCAGAACTGTCGGGTTGTTTCGTGTTTTTTTTATGTAACTTCAAATGCCTATAACTTTTTAATTTGGGGTATTGTGCAAACAATGAGATTAAGAAACTCCACTTTATTTTTGAGTTTCTATCCGCTGGCAAAGTTTCAAGCCGATTTGACACCTGACCCAAACGACCTTCCCTTGTTAGAGAGCAGGAGCGAGAGTTTGAGCTAAAATTAGAGACATAGACAATTTGATGAGAGAGAGAGTGAGAGAGAGAGAGAAAAACAGAAACTAGA